TGGTTCCCTCTAGGCACCAGATGAAAGACTTTGCATGTTCCCGCACCTCAAGGCCCTGATTGGCCTCAGGAATGGGGAGCAAACAAAGTCTCCTCCCCGCACCAGGGCCGTGCGGCGCCTAGAGGGAACCTCCTCTTTCCACCCAAGACCACGCCCCTTCTGCCTGAGCCCCCGCCCCGTCCAGGGCGGAGCCAGCCCACAACTGCCTATCAAAATTCATGAAGTACCCCCCCTGCAAAAATGATTGTTCACCCCTGCTCTAAGCATAGAGTTCTGTTGGCTCAGCACATATCTCCTCTCTTAATGGCTCTTATCTCCATTTTCCACAGCTCTTCTCTGAGTCCCCTCCATGTAAGCCGTGCTGCCCGATACTGGGGGGTGTCACAGCAAAATGTGGACTCCTGGGCACTCCAGTAGCATGGAGGCCTTGTGGCCTATCTCTGCCTTCCGCTCCTCACCTCATGTCTCTGCAGCTTGCTTACAGAGCCACCCTGAGCTGACCTGCCCCAGGCACCAACCTGCTGCCTTAGTTTCTCCTTACACATTTATTTCCCTTTGCAGGGGAAGTGTTTTGCAGTGACATAAGGGCAGCCCTGGCCAGGATCTTCCAGTCTCCCGCCCCTCCCTTCCTCTGTTCTATCTCCACCCCCACTGGATGCCTTCTGCCTGAGCTCTGCTCCCTCACCAATTACATCAAAATTGAGCCAGCCAGAGCATGCGGTGCTGAGAGTTTCCCTGGCCTGGGGCCTCACTTGCCCATTACACAGCTTCTGTCTTCTCCTGGATTAGAGCAGAGCTGCATACCACATACCATTGCTATAATGCAACGCGCTGATCCCCCCTCCCTGCAGGCTCAAACCAGTTCCAAGATTCTCACCCTCTGCCAAGGTTTCTTTGCCGCATTAGGGGTCTAATTCCTGAACAGGAGACACTGTGCTTAGCTAGATTGGCTTTGGAATTTCACACACACATGAAACAGGATCTATTCCTTATAACGGGCACTGTGAAGTCTGGATTCTAATACCATTGAAGTCAATGGGGATTTTGCTATTGAGTTTAGTGGGAACAAGCCCAAACTCTAATTTTGCATCTTTCTTATTCTTGTCTGCTCTTGTCTTTTGCTTGTGACTTGGTCTCTCTCCAAGGCTTATGTGCATTTTAGCAGACACAGTTATCTGCAGGATCCTTGCGGTTTTGGCCCTTATTCACATGATTCAAATAATTCACATTATTCCATATTAGGTATGGAAACTAATAGCTATAATAGTGCTTGAACAAGGTGATTACTAGCAGGGCTCTAGCACACTTTCCCTGACCAGTTGCATGCAAGGCTACATTCAGACTGCAGAGTTAAATCGGAAAAAGAAATGCAATTTGCGGTATGCAAACTGCGTATCTTTTTCCAATTTACTTTCAAAAGAGCCTTTTCCGAGATTTGGCGTGTCTACATGGTGCCAAATTTTGGAAAAAAGTGCTCTTTTGACACATCCCTTATGCTCCATAGAATGAGGTGAAAGGGTATGTCTGCTTTTTCGAAATTTTTTTTGGAGAAGAGGACGTGTCCCTTGAATGCGGCATTGCTTTTCTGGGATCCCTCCAGAATCCCGGAAAAGCAATGCAGTCTAGCCTTAGTGTTAGGGTTTTTTGTTTTGCTTGAGATCCGTGTTCTGAAACAATGCCATGGATAATAGGCTGCATAGGTAAGTAAGCACCTTCGTTTTCAGTTTAAACCAACTTTTGTTGAAAAAAACCTGGGTTTTACAAAAAGTGTTGTTCTGTTTTTTTCTGTTTTTTTACCTGACTTCTGTATCATTCAAATATATAAAAATAACTTGTTTATTAGGAAATATAGTACATTGCCAGAGACACAATGATAAATTCCGCAGGGGTCTGTTTTGGGACTGGCTCTCTTCAATATCTTCATCAACGATTTAGATATTGGCATTGAAAGTACGCTTATTAAGTTTGCAGATACCACCAAGATGGGAGGGGTTGCAACTGCTTTGGAGGATAGGGTCCGATGAAGGAATGATCTGCAAAAATTGGAGAAATGGTCTGAGGTGAACCCGATGAAGTTTAATAAAGACAAATGCAAAGTGCTCCACTTAGGAAGGAACAATCAGTTTCACACATACAGAATGGGAAGCGACTGTCTAGGAAGGAGTACAGCAGAAAGGGATCTAGGAGTTATAGTGGACCACAAGCTAAATATGAGTCAACAGTATGATGCTGTTGCAAAAAAAGCAAACATGATTCTGGAATGCATTAACAGGTATGTTTTGAGCAAGACACGAGAAGTCATTCTTCTGCTCTACTCTGCACTGGTTAGGCCTCAGCTGGAGTATTGTGTTCAGTTCTGGACACCGCATTTCAAGAAAGATGTGGAGAAATTGGAGACGGTCCAGAGAAGAGCAACAAGAATGATTAAAGGTCTAGAGAACATGACCTATGAAGGAAGGCTGAAAGAATTGGGTTTGTTTAGTTTAGAAAAGAGATGATTGAGAGGGGACATGATAGCAGTTTTCAAGTATCTAAAAGGGTGTCATAAGGAGGAGAGAAAAAACTTGTTCATCTTGGCCTCTGAGGACAGAACAAGAAGCAATGGGCTTAAACTGCAGCAGGGAAGGTTTGGGTTGGACGTTGCGCGTTTGGGATGTAGAGCGTTTCCCTTTTCCCAGGGAGGCTTTCCCAGCTGGTCGCTGTGCAGCGTCCCCAGGGAGGCAGGAATGGGCTATGCGGGTAGATCGAGGGGTCTTCTCAAATCTGCCCCCCACTTCAGGCCAGCCACCTTCAAAGAGCAGATGTCTCTGCCACCTGAGCTCTGAGCTGTCGACACCGAGCATGCCATGGATGAGTCTGCTGGCTCTTTCCTGCTTACCTTCCCCCTGTCCAGACTCAGCAACCTACTAAGCATGGGCCCACCTTCAAGCACATGGAGCGTCCCACTGAAACCAAAGCTTGCAGTGGGGCGTGCTGTTTATGTACCTTACTGACTCAGGGCCTGAATGCACTGAGGGAAAGGAGTGTCGCCAGCTAAGGCTCCGTGCCAGGTGGCACTTGTGTAGCGCTGGCCCGGTGCAGCGCGCCCACTCATTGCAGTTCCTTGCCCCCAGGGCTCGCCGTGCAGAGGACAGAAAGCACAGGGAGAACTGACAGCGACTGTTGTTTCAGCCGGACTTCAGTTCTGGCCACTTCTCTCCCCCTTCAGCACCTTGCCAGTGTGGGGAAGCAGTGGCATGTCAGGAGAGAGGGGAGCACTGGCATGGAAGATGGCATGGGAGGGCGTGCGAGGCAGCCCAGGGAGCCGTGGAGGCTCTGGGAGTGCTGGTGCTATTTGCGGGGTGGAAAAGCAGCAGCGCAGTTTTTGTTGCTATTCTACAGACAGATGGCTGGGTTCCCAGGTAGACAAGTCTATCAGGTCATGTGATCAGATGGAACCATGAAACATCTGGCATGGGAGGGACATGGACTGAGATCCCTGGCCTGCCTGTCTGCATGTGGGTGTGGTGGCACATCGAGTACCCCCGATCCTGTACCCCGTCTGCAGCAAGATGAGACTCCACCAACCAGTGGTGTAGAAAGGGTTTATTGCTCCTCCAGGATACAGCACAGCATAGACGTGATGTGGTTTCAGGAGTCAGGGCCAGGATGCCTCAGACCTCTTGGATTAGAGGGTCCATTGTCATCACTAGACCCTCAGCCCTCAGCTAAGGCTGCTTCCTTCATGTTTCCCAGCCAGCAACTGACCCTTCCCCTGAAACCTGGTGTTGGTCTCCCCCCCTGGGAATCCCCTGTTATCTCCTCAGGCTGAACCTAGGTGTCTGGGTTAATACACATTTGGGTGAGTCAGTGGGAATCTCACACCACAACGTAGGGGGACACCAGGTTACAGAGCAGACAGACCCCCACTACGCCACAGTGGGACACCCCCAGCAAGGGCAGAGGGGTTCTCTGAGGAGCAAGAGTGCCCAGAGAGTGCCGCAGAGGCAGCGCTGCCTGCAGTGAATGGCTTGCGCCAGCTTTGAGGCGACAAGAGCAACACCTGCTATTTCTTTGCCTTCACTTTCTGCACCACGGTCACCCCTCTTCATGCACCATGGCCCTGAGACTGTCAGGAATGGAAGTGGCAGGGGTCACCTTTAGGCTGCTGTAAAGGGAGCCTCAAGCCTGTGCAATTCCCAGGCCATCTCTCCCAGTCTGTAAGGCTCCATCCAGGAGGAGGGATGAGTAGCCCAGATCCTAGCAAAGAGGGCCATGTGCGCCAGACCCTGAAAGGTAATACAGAGTTTACAGGGGAGCAAGGCTGGAGATCAGAGCTGGGGTTGGGGTGAAGTGTAGAATCAGGGTGTGTGTGGATGGGGACAGCTTGGGGAAAAGAGGGGAGAACTTGGAGGATAGAGGCCAGACCTTTACAGAGTGGGTGGGGTTTCTGTCTCTGGGGAGATGTGTCTATTTATTTTGAGAGGATGCCTTAACACTGCCAATATCATTCTCTCCCTGCTGGTTGGGCTATTAAATCATGGGCCAGTGGATTTGTCTGTTGATCGGGCAATTTAATCTCATTCTACTCCTGATGCTTGGATATTGTGCAGCCTTCATCTCCGACCCCTCATGCCTCTCAGGCAGGGGCGGCCCGTGGATGTTGGCAATCTCGGCAGTTGCCTAGGGCGCCATGTTTAACGTGGCGCCCAATGATAACATTATGCCATTGAGGGATATGGAGGCAGGGGTGCCGATCGCGCATTCCGCCTAGGGCACCAGTTGCCGGCAGCTCTCCTCGAGCCGCTCCTGCTCTCAGGTGCCCTCTCCCTGCTTTCTCCCTCAGCTTCTTTGTTCTGAAATAAAAAACAGGACTATGTAGCACTTCAAAGACTCTTTAAAGTGCTACATAGTCCTGTTTTTTGTTTCAGCTAGACTAGACTAACACGGCTACATCTCTTTTATTCTTCTTCTTTGTTCTCACCTTCTTGCTCTGAACTCTCTAAAGATTTAGTTCCTACCTCGAAACTCTCCGGTTTTGTGATTTCATTCTTCACAATGACCTTTACTTCCTGTAGCTCTGCGATGCCTTGGGTAGGACTCCCAAGTAGTGACTTCTCCAGTCGCTCAACCTCTTTGTACAGTTGCTGCACCAAGAGCTCCGATTTGCAGAGTCTCTCCTTCAAGATCTCCATCTCCTTTTAAAAAAGGAAAATTGTAAATGCTGAAACCAATTTCTTGGAGCCATATATCCTGCGGCTAGTCCCCCAGAACCCCTGCTTCCAGCACCTAGGCTGCTGTGTGACTTTCATTTTTATCTTGGGACACGTCACTACCTCCCAATGGATATTTGTGCTCTTTCCCAGCAATTGGATTGAGCCTGGATGGCGGCAGTCGCATTGGACTCAGGCCTGTACTGACACACTGCCCCTACCCTCTAGTTGGGCTGTTTGCAGAGGGTTAGCCCACTTCCTCAAAAGTCCCAGCCCCTGCTACAAACACACTGTCCTGTCCTGTCCTGTGAGCAGTACGCTGCAGCTCACCCAGAAGTGGAAAGAAGATAGAAAGTGGTTTGGCCAATGAAAGGTCAGTCCCAAAAGACATGATCTCTGTGCTCCATGGGGTTTCGAGGTAGCCTTATAGATAGGTGGGTGTTGATTAGTGTCTTGGACTGCATCAGTGCGCTCCTAGGCTCTCTTAATACTAACAGTGTTCCTGATGTAGCTCACAGGAGACTGAATCTTTAACCCAGAGGTCTCAAGCTCAGGGCCTGCAGCCCACATTATGGCCAGATCATATTTGCAATCTGTCCCAGGAGCCCTGGCAGCTGGGGTGTGTGTGTGTGTCCCCAAACCTGTCCTCCAAGCCCTGCCCTTTCCTACCACAGCCCCGCCTTCTCCCCCACCCCCGTATCACCCTGTCCCCTGAGGAACACGGCTTCAGGGATTACTGGGGTGAGGCCTGGTGGGGCGGCAGCAGTAAGTGTAGTAAGTGTTTGCACTACAACAGCACCAGCACAGTTGCTGTGCTACAGTTGTGCCATTGTAGCGTTGCTAGTGTGGGCATCACCTTAGCCCTGTGATTCTGTTTTGTTAATCCAGCTCTTTCACTGCCCCGATTGCTTGTGCAGTGCCTAGGTTTTGGTGAGCTTGGTCTGTCAGGGCATGTCTACACTGCAAAGAAAAGCCTGTGGCACCGAGTCTGAGAGCTCACCTGGGTCAACTGACTGGCCTCGCAGGGCTTGGAGTGCAGGGCTAAAAATAGCAGGGTAGAAGTTCCTGCTCTGGGTGGAATATAGGGCTGGGGACCTTTCCCTTTTGCTGGATTTCAGGGACATACCTTCATATGGAGCTCCTTTTCCTCCTCCCGTTCAGAGCTCAGTCTGTCTATTTCCTTTTGAAGATGCTCTTGCTGGTCTCTTTTCGTTTCGGACCTATAGAAATCATTACACTTCTCTCCAATTCCAAACCATCTGCAGAGAGAGCTCTATACAATGGCTATAGCCCTGCAAATCCATGGTTATCCATTTTATATCTGCAAGTATCCGCCTCCATGGATGTGGAGACAGATAGCTGCGGGTCATTTTGCAGATGCGGGAGTGGATACCAATTTTGCAACCACGCAGGGCTCTAACAATAGACATGGTTCGGGCATTTTAGAGACCACCACAGTGCTTGGTACCTTATAAATGCCTAGAGGCTCAGAACTGACTAACCCTAATTTCCTTATGTGTGTATTTCTGCTTGCCAGAGGATGAGTGAAATGAGATTGCAAAAATTACCACCATTGTCTCCTTTTCAGTTTCTACCTACACTGCTCTTCCATCCTCTACACAAGACTGGATAGCGACTCCCTTTGGAAAGCATCAAGTTGCTCATCAAGATGCTTAGTTCTCCCATCTGTGTATCACCAGTGTAACTATGTTCACTATATTCCTGAGTAGGGGTGGTCCGAGGCAGGCTGCGGCAGCTGGCACCCCAGGCAGAATGTGCAATCAGCGCCCCCACCTGCATGGCTGTCAATGGAGTGACATTATCATCAGGCGACGGCCGAGTCAGCCTATAATCACGGGCCGCCCCTGTTCCTGAACCTCTTCCAGCTCCCTCATCCTCTTCCACTCCTGGCCCTAAAGCCATTTGCACAAATGGTAGATTAACTTTTCCTGATGGGGGTAGAACCACTGGGGACCGATCCCTTCTCCCCCTGCAACTAGTTTTATGACACACTACAGGCAGTCCCCGGGTTACATACAAGATAGGGACTGTAGGTTTGTTCTTAAGTTGAATCTGTATGTAAGTCGGAACTGGCGTCCAGATTCAGCCGCTGCTGAAACTGATCAGTTTGCCCAGATGCGTCTGGGCTGTCAGCTGCCCGCATGCTCCGCGGCTTTGCTCTGCTTTGCTCCCCGTCCCCCTGGTCTGCAGACCAGGGGGACGGGGAGCAAAGCAGAGCAAAGCCGCGGAGCATGCGGGCAGCTGACAGCCCAGACGCATTTGGGCTGTCCGCTGCCCGTGTGTTCCGCCGCTTTGCTTCCTCTCCCTGGTCTGCTGGAGACCAGGGAGAGGGAGGGCCCCGTTCGTAACTGCGGATCCGACATAAGTCGGATCCGCGTAACTCGGGGACTGCCTGTAATCAAGTTATGCCAAGCCGGTTTAAATGCCATCAAGAAAGTGAGGCGGAGAATCTTCTGAAGTTACATACCTGAGGCAACTTGTGCACTGAGGCTGATTGTCAGTATCTGATTATTGCTATGCTGGATTTGGGAGGAGTGTTAAGTCAGCTGCTTTTTATTATTTTAGGGGAACTCGGAGACCAATTTTTTTCAACTTTTCCCCATTTAAAATGTTGCATTGCAGCTGGAGGATGAGTGAGATCACACAGTGGTTCTTACCTAGGGAACATATGCGCTGGGATACGCAGAGGCCTTCTGAGGGGGCAGGGAGGAACATCAACTTATTTGCCCAGTTTTACAACAGGCTGCATAAAAACACTAGTCAGTATGGACTAAAATTTCATACAGACAAAATAAGAAAGTAAGCCATTTCTCAGTACTCGTGCTGTGACACGTCTGTATTTTTATGTCTAATGTAAGCAAGTGGTTTTTCCAGTGAGGTAAAACTTGGGGGACACAAGACAAATCAGCCTCCTGATAGAGGTGCAGTAATCTGGAGAGCTGAAGAACCACCACAAGAGGAGAGCATTTAATTGCAGATCCGGGTGGGGGTGGGGCCTTACCCCCACGTTCAATCCAGGTGCCCTCTCAAACAGAGAGATGAATGACCATGGAGGGGCTATGCATTCTGACTGGCTCTTTTACCTTCCCCTATTCTGAGCACAGCAGGACCTGGACTCCAAGCAGCATTATGCAAGTAAGGAGCATACAATTAACAGAAGCATCAACACATGCACTCAGATGGGGCCAGATCAGGGCTCATGATTAGCAGTGAAGTAATAGGCTCTTACTATATTGACATGCCCTGGATACAGACTCTGTGGCTGGTGGCCCACGCTGCTGAGGTGGAAGGGCTGCCTGCGAGCTCTTGGAGCAGGAAACAGGAAGCTTGCCAGGTTAACAGGAGATGAAACCTGAGACCGTCTCCTTAGGGAAGGCTGGGAGCCCCATAAGGCTTCCACCCTGTGCTAGTTCTGACTTGTGTCTTCTTGCCATCACCTCTGAAGTGCGGATGTCGTGACTGGCCAGACAGCTTGCCTGTCAGACGGGAGCAGCACTCCCAGGCAGGATGTGTGCTGGCTCTTGACTCTGGGTGCCGCGCGCGGGTGATTCACCAGGGGTGTTTCTGTCCTGGCCCGTCGCAGCCAGCTGGGATCCAAGAATGAAAAGGGGAGTGCAAGGCCATCGAATTTAGTTCAGCTGGCAGGAGCCCAGTCAGGGCCCACTCAGACTTTGCCAATTCCAAGGGCCCAGCTGGAATGCACCAAGAGCTCACCAAATAGGCTTCAGAGAGGGAAGCTGTTTGCAGGGTCTTGTCTCCCACTGGGTCCTAAAAACTGGCAGGTAGTTCACGGCTTAGCAAGCATGGTAATAGCCCAGCACACAGCTGCAGAAAGGCTGCACGTCTCTCCCTCGCTCCAATTTCTTTTGCAGGCACCAGAGGCTCAGTTCAACTTGCCCCTCATTTACATGTATGCAGCGTTGGTGCAAAGTGGCTCTAACACCATGAGCAAATCCCACGGGTGAGGAACACTGCGCGCCCCCTCAGGGCAGGTGTCCAAGATGGCACACAGTGCAAGGCAGGGGGAGACTGGGGGCTAAGGGGCTTTCGCAAGGAAGCTGAGGGAATTTTTCTGTCAGGGTGGTTGCACCCAGGTCATTGCTGCAGGACCTGAGCCCCTGTGATGGGGCTCCAGCTAAAAAGCAGCTCTAGAGCATGAGAACTAGGCCCGCAACCATCACTTGTTGGCAGCACTTCATGCAAGCAGGAACGCGTGTGCCCTAGGCCGGCGGCCATTTTATAACACAGAGTCAGGCAGCTGTGCTGTCGAGCACAGTCCTGGACACTCATGCAAGTTCGTTTCTGGGATGAGCAGTGAGCTAAGGGCAGCAGTGACTAGTATGAGCACTGCTCCTCACTTGTCTTGGCTCCCAGCCTCCATGGGGCTGGAGCAGCCCTCAGCCCACAATCTATGGGGGGCACCCCCCAAAAAAAATTGCCCCCCACAGTTCCAAGCACAGTATGGTCATTGCTCCCCTGGTCTGACCAGAATGATCCCACAGGCCCTTCTTTGGAGCCCTAAGTGATTTAGGATCTATAGGGCCAGAATAAATTGTCATAGCTTCCTTGATTTCAGTGGAGTTAGGATGATTTACTCCAGCTGAGAATCTGGCCCATCTAGCTATGTCGTAGTAATGTATCCATACGGGTTCCTAAGATACAGGGAGGGAGCTTTGTTTTTTGTTGTTTTGTTTTGCTTTTTTTTAATTGGCATGGTGGCTGTTCTCTGCCACATACAATTTATTCATGTTCTGGATCACGGAGCTTGAATGGCTGTTGATGTTTCCGCTGCCTCATAGCCTTGTTTGCACTGTGATTCATAGGCAGAGCCGTGATGTAGAAGGCTCCCTCCCGTGCCCTGAGCTCACCGGATTTCCCAGTGGCATGAACTTTGTGCCAAAGAGCAGGCTTTTAAATCACTGCTGCCAGCATGACTGGGATCGTCTTTTCAGTGAGCTTCCCCAAAATCTTTCATCTTCCCATCACAGGCTGCACCAAAATCAAAGTTCCATGGTGAGTTTGTCTTGCAAAGAAATCTCACAGGTGCCTGGCTGTTTCCCCCTAGAGATGGTGTCTGTTTGAGCAAAGAGTCTTTGCTTTTTGCTCTAGTTTTGTTTTGGGCTGTCACACTGGTGCTGTGCGCAGTCACATTACTGTCTATCACTTTGATCTATGGGGGGATCTACCTCCCCCTGGAAGACGGTTTTTAGTTAAATTCTTGGATGTTAAAGGTAGGGATGTGAATGGGTAACTGGTTAACTGATACCTGGGAACAGTCCCTTACCCAAGGCCTGCCATGGACAGAGGACTACTCCAGCTGCATGGGAGCTGGCAGTTGCAGCCCTAAGCTTGGGGGGAAGGGATCTGGGAGCAGAAGCTTCCCCTCCCCCCCCCCCCTGCACTTGGAGCTGCAGGTTCCTGCTGCTAACCTCCCCGCATGGGGGAGGCAACAGCAGCAGCTGGCAGCCCCAAATGCGGGGAAGGGGAAGCTGGCAGTGGCAGTGGCAGGGGGGTGGGTGTTTGAGCACGGGAGCAGAATCCTACTTCATCAGTTAACTGGTTAAACCTAAGATTTAATCAGTTAACTGATTAACCAGAATTTTACATCCCCTAGTTAAAAGCCAGACTTTCAAAAGTGCTCAGCCCCCAGAATCAGGACCAGATTGTCAAAAGTGCTCAGCACTGTGGGCAAGCAATAGGAGATGCCGGGTGCTGAGCTCTTTTGGAAATTGGACCCCAATTGCGAGTACTGAGGTCCTGGAAATCTGGCCCCACTCCCTTGCTCCTGCTTCCATTGACTTTAATGAAGCAAGATCGGGTCAAAGCAAACTGACACCATGATGCATGTTAATGCCAGTTTGCAAAGTTCAGCATCCACCATCTGGCAGCTGGACTTGCTTCAAGAGTCTCATTTTTCAGAGCGGCCAAGAGCATCTCTGGCTCCGCTTGGCTTCAAAGGGAGCTGTGGGTGCTCAACACCTCTGAAAATCAGTGCATGGGTGAATGTGTCTGCACGTTGCCATGGCTCGTCATCCAAAGACAGCTGCTGTACTTGGGAAGCCAAGCGGAGCTGGGCTAAGCTTTCTCACCCTCCCTGGAAGAGATTCTCTGTCGACAGTAGAGTAACTATTTATTCTTTTTCTGGGCTGCAGAAACTGAAGTACCTAGTCCAGGCATAGAGACTGAAATCTGGAAGTGCCATATAAATAAGCCAGTGTCCAAATTTGACAAATAGTTGATGAATGTGCATCTACATAAATTCTGTTCTCCCTCCTTCCCCCAAAATTTGCTCCCTTGAATTTTCCCCTTTGCTGCTCTTTGACCCCCTTCCCTCATTTCTGCTTTCTCCCAGCCCTCTGCAATTTGTAGCAGTCCTCTCCATTACTCAAGTTCCTTACACCCTTGCTACCCTACAATCCGCTCCCTGATTCTAGAGACCATGCCTAGAACCTGAGCCTCAACCCACCCATGACTACTGAAAGTCATCCCATGAGATTAGTTTAAAATAATAGCAGTAAATGTTGAAACAGGCATCCTGGGGAACAAGTCATCTGTGATCATGCATTTAAAATACAGGTAGTCCCCGGGTTACATGGATCCGACTTACATCAGATCCCTACTTACAAACAGGGTGAGGCAACCCCACACTAGCTGCTTTCCCCCAGCAGACCAGGGAGACGCGGAGCGGCTTTTCTCAGCAGACACCGCAGCTTGAGAATAAAGGACTGAGGGAAGTGAGGTGTGGGAGAATAAAACTGAGCTCTGGAGAAATGTTTGGCTAGAGTTTCCCCTACAATATGTACCAGTTCCGACTTACATACAAATTCAACTTAAGAACAAACCTACAGTCCCTATCTTGTACGTAACCCGGGGACTGTCTGTAGTACAGGTTGAACCTCCCTAGTCCAGTGCCCTTGGGACCAGATTGTTGCTGAACCATGGGAGGTCAATATTGTCTAGCAGCATTACCAACAGTCCCACTGCTTACTGGGCTCTTAGAAGACATTTAGTTGGTAAATTAGAGCTAAACAACGGCACAGAACACTGAGATCCAAGACTGGTGGCTGTAAACAAACTTTATGGGATTGCAGGAAACTTGGCCACCCCCATGATAAGTGGACCTGCGGCTAACTAAAATCATGTCGTATCATGCATGCACACACAAGGAACCCAGTCAAGGATGCACTGGAAACCCTGATTCTGGCATTTCCTAACTTTGGGTGCTGGACTTTGAAGTTTAATAATGTTATTTTACTGTCATTTTTATGATGCTACAGAAGGGTGATTCCCAGGCAAATTCCTCTCCTTCTGCCAATTTGGGCTGTCACTCAGTGGGACTTTGTCACGTTTCCAAGAGTTTCTGACTTCAGCCCTTTGTTTTTTGCTGCTCACCTCATGCACGTTGCACTCGCTCTCTGCCTCTTGCTCACTAGCTCCTGTAAAATGAAGGAGAGCCGAGCAGATGGCTCCTTTTGGGCAGCGCGTTTCAGCCCCTGGATTTCTAGGTCCCTCTGATGCAGCAGCAAGCGCAGGACTTGGATGTCATCCTTCTGGAGGACCTTTGGCGGCGTGGGAGGGGCTCTGCAATGGAACCAGTCAGCCAAAAGAGAGCGACTCATTAAAATGGTAGCAAACCAAACCCATGCTCAGGTCACAGGCAGGTTCAAATGTTCTGTGCATCTCTAGAGTATGGGCCACTTACTTACTCAACCGCCTCATTAAAGATTTAGGCATCTGGTTTTAGTCATCAGGTTTTGAAAAGGTTGACCAGGATACTTTTTATGCATAGATGAACTGAATGAAGGCTGGGATGGGTAAACTTTCTCACCCAATTTTAGAGAGGATGAAACAGAGGCATAGAGTGGTGAAGTGATAAGTCCAAGGTCACACAGTATGTCAGTGGCAGAGCAGCAAATAGAATTCAAGTTCCCTTATCCTTTATCTGATGCCTTATCAGCATCTGAATGAAATCTCTGTATGAAGAGTGAGAGGGCAGGATGCTATGTTTCATTATAGTCCATGGGCCAAAGTGTACATTCAGGACTGTATACTTCCCCATGGTGCATTGTGGTATTCATGCCCACGGGAGTAAGTAGGCGCTTTGCACAACAATCAAGCAGAGGATATGGCCTCTGTGTAGTGACTAAGCCCTTGCTGATTATTTATCATGGATTTAGTGTCTCATCATCCCATTCATCACTGAATGAAACAATCTGCTCCCACTGCTACTTCTGTCCTTTGTGTTGCTTCCTTTCCCATCCTCCTCTTGCTGTTTATTGAAGTTCCTCTGCTCTTTTCTCCGCCTTTCTTGCCTTGAAGCAACTTCCCATTCCCTCCCCCCACAACCCCCGCTCCCATTCTGAGCCGTAAAATGAACAGTGATTAAATAGTTCATTTTGTGGACGCTGAAACATTCACTTTTGTGTTGTACAATGGATACTCCGACTAAATTAATAGGTGACCAGGGAATTCACACAGTGAGCCATTGTTTCAGGCTGCCTGTGGATTCATGCAGACATCTCCACATCACCTGTGCTCAGGACTTGCACAGGTATCTTTGCAGTTATGAAGGTTAGAGACTTGTTTGTTAAAATTAAAAAAATGTAGATTATATCTACATTGTATATATTATATAGAATCTGAGTGTCCTGCCAGCTATATAAACACAGGGTGGGGACTCTCTCTCTCATACCCCAGCCTGGAACCTTCCTGAAATTTGCCCGTCACTCCACCTGACTATTAATTGTTGCAGTTTACCAGGAGACAAACCTTTGGAGACACATTAGTACTGCTTTAGGCGGACAGCTGGAAAAGAAATGGGCTCAGGAACTCTGGGGATATGATGCTGCTGCAAGCTAGCAAGGCAGCCCCAGAAAATAAATAGTAATAAACAGCAAGAGGAAAATGCAAAATGTGGGGAGGTGCTGGGTAGATTTTCCTCCTCACTCCCTGCTTGTTGGAGTATTTTCCTAGAATCACACTAAGCAGGCTATACAAGAAAACTCTCTTTTCATGGTGCCCCTCACTTTCCTCAAAACCTACAGGAAAATGTCCACTTGTCCCACTCTTCTCCCTTTCCCACTGGCGTGCAGGACCCATGCATCACCTCGCCCACAGTATTGGTACATCTAGACTGCAGAGTTTTTTCCAGTATACTGGAGGTATCCTGGAAAAGCTCTGACGCATCCAAGGAACGCGTCCGCTTTTCTGAACATTTTTTTGGAAAAGCAGAGGCGTTTTTTCGGCATCCCTGTAAACCTTGATTTATGAGGAAGAAGGGATGTTCCGAAAGAGGCTTTTTTCCGACATTTGGCCCTGTGTAGATGGGCCAACTGTCAGAAAAGCCTCTTTTGGGAGAAAAGTGGAAAAAGATACGCAAATTGCAGTTCACAAGTTGAGTATCTTTTTCCGACTTTTCTTTGTAGTCTAGACACAGCCTCTGTGGTGCACAGGGTCCTTTCCCCTCCGGTAGAGGTGTCCAGGCATTGGTGCCGCTGTCATGTTTCCTCCTAACATGCACGCGTAACCAACTGCTCTGTGTGTGTCATATGTCCTCTCTCTGTGGCTGATCCATAGAGTTTAAGAGCTCTTGGCTAGGAGAATTCATCGTTCAGTTCAAGGGGTAGAGTCCCTGGGTTCAAATGACGCTGTAAACCAGTGATGGGCCTACTATTACACAGATACCTCTTGTACAGCCTCTGTGCCCCTGTGATGCTGCACAGTCTCTTCTTTGGGTGCTTATGTCACCGAGGTGTGAGGAGTCACCGGGCCCTGCACCCACATCTGCAGCCAGATGTGACTCTCAGCCAGCAGGTAGAACAGAAAGTTTATTAGTTGATGGGGGCACAGCGTAGCACAGACTTGTCGCAGAGGAGCCAGGAGCAGTCAGTACAACCACCTTGGGGAGAAAGGGACCCAGAGCCAAGGGCCCTGACTCCCCTTTCTGTACCCCAAGCCAGCAAGACTCACTCACTCACCCAGCAGCCTGTCTGCCTCCGGCAGCCAGCCCTGCCTCCAGCCTTTGTCCAGCTTTCCGGGCAAAAGGTGTCACCTGCTCACACCCCCCTCCCAGGCTCAGGTAACAGAAAGCATTGGCCATTGTGTACATGCGGGAGAGTATCACACTGAAATTCCCATCACCGTTTAGGTATGGGTGCAGTACCCAGGGAAACTGAGGCACACACACGGGGTTACTACAGGGCAGTAGAAATCCCATGCAACACAACAAAGTAAACAGAGCGAATACCATCCCCCGCTTTGTCACAGCTTGTATCTGGTGCACAGCCCCTTGTCCAATGCCTAGGCCTGTGGGCCAGCTGCCTCTGCAGTGTCTTGTCCCTGCAAGCCATTGCCTATTGCTCAGGCCCCAGCCTGCATCCCCTATTGCTCAGGCCCCATCCCCATTCACCCAGGCTTCTGTCATGGTTCCCTCATTTTCCTCTCCCTGTTGCACAGATCGTTTCCAATAGGCTGGAATTGCCCATATACAACATGGCACCATGCTAATGTCACCTCCCTACTTGCAGGTACCGGTTGTCTCTCTCCACCGCGCTGAGACAGCTTTGCAGCCGCCTGGCTTGCTTGTTTGCCTGCCTGCTTGCTTATTTATTTGTCTATTTATTTTTCCCTTCAGAGCCATTCTTTACTCCCCATATGTTATAATAATTACAAGTGATAAGTTAACAGCTGGTTTGCTATTCTGGGCTCAGCAGAGCTGCCCGCCTCTTCCTTCCCTCCCTCCCACAGCTCTGGGTCAGATTTTTGGCTCCAGCAATCAGGGATTCCTATTATCTCTTAGACCCCTAAGAATCAGAGCTTTTCCTCAATCACCATCTGTCTTCCTAGCTCCCTCCCTCTCTCACTCTCGCCATACGGCAACGGGGTGGTTTTATGAGTGTCACATCCATCTGTTGCCATGGAAAAGACTGAAATAGCAAAGGAATGTGACTCCCCTTGCTAAGAGGCCACAGAAAGATAGTGAAGGGTATTTTCTCCCCATTGGCATCAGCATCCTTCCGAGTCATTGATGACAGCTGAGGCCCTAGCAACAATCCCATGACAGGTATACAGCATGGGGAGTGATATTGATGGGTGCTGTATCCTGGGCCCTGCACGTCACTTTCTTGGCCTGTTGTTAGAGACTGCAAACAAGCAGGTCAAACCATCCAAAGCAGGGGTGGGCAATAATTTTTGACTGGGGGGCCACTTCCGAAATTTTTGAAGTGGCCCTGGGCTGCCCCAGAAAAGGCGGGGCAAGGACTCTTCCTTGCTACCTCACTCACAGTCCCTGATTGGTCTGAGGGTGGGGGTGCACAAAAAGTCTTTGCCCCATAAGGTTCCTTCTAGGTACTTGGCAGTGGGAAGAGACTTTGAGTGCTCTCCACTGCTGCCCCCAGGTCCATCAGGGCCTGGGGAGGAGGAGCACATGAAGTCTCTCACTCCCTGCCCCCTCCCTACAAGGGAGCGCCATGCTTTGAGTCAACTGCCAGATGAGCAGAAGTTGGTGGTTGACTTTAAGGCTGTGTCTAGACTACATGGCTCCATTGACAGAGCCATGTAGATTAGGGTTGTAGGCATAGAGAAATGAAGCGGCGATTTAAATAATCACCGCTTCATTTAAATTTAAATGGCTGCCACTCTGAGCCAACAAACAGCTGATCAGCTGTTTGTTGGCTCAGCGCGCTAGTCTGGACGCTCTGTGGTCAACATCAAAGCCCTTTGTCGACCTCGCAGGTATGCCCCCTGGAATGAGGTTTACCTGATCGGCTCAGTGCGGCAGCCATTTAAATTTAAATGAAGCGGTGATTATTTAAATCGCCGCTTCATTTCTCTATGCCTACAACCCTAATCTACATGGCTCTGTCAATGGAGCCATGTAGTCTAGACACAGCCTTAAAGTCAACCACCAACTTCTGCTCATCTGGCAGTTGACTCAAAGCATGGCGCTCCCTTGTAGGGAGGGGGCAGGGAGTGAGAGACTTCATGTGCTCCTCCTCCCCAGGCCCTGATGGACCTGGGGGCAGCAGTGGAGAGCACTCAAAGTCTCTTCCCACCTGAACCCTTTGCAGGGTGGGAGGAGACTTCACACTCTCCCCCTGCCCCCAAGCCCTGATTGGCCTGGGGGTAAGGGGAGTACGTGAAGTATACTCCCACCCTGCCCCCATCCTGCCAAGAGTGTGAGGTGCTTCTAAGCAAGAGGAGACTTTGCGCACTCCCCCCTGTCCTGAGGCCAATCAGGGCTTGGGGGTGGGGGAGAGCACAAACTCTCCTCCCACCCTGCCAAGAGCGTGCAGCACTTTGAAGCACTGCACACTCCTTGCAGGGCGGGAAGAGACTTTATGCACTTCCCCCTACCCCTGGGCCTTGATTGGCCTGGAGGCAGGGGGGGCTGCAGGGCCTCCGTAGGCTGGATTAACTCGTTTGGCAGGCTGGATCTGGCTCTCAGAGGCCCTTTTGCCCACCCCTGGTCTAATGCCCTGTGCCCTTGGCATTCAATTGTAGCATCCCCATCAGTGCCGACCCCAGTCCAAACACAGTTGCTGACCCAATCGAGACATTCCTTTCTTATCCAGCCTCTTTCTCTCATGTAACCCCTGAGCCCCTGGCCTAGAATGCAGCTGCTATTGCTGCATTCTCAGAAACTCATGCTGAGACCATCCCATGAATCAAGTATTAAGAGCTACTCTCCCCACAGAAGGTGGTGGATCATTTCAGGAAGCCACCTTATTGTGGACGGTGTCCCAAAAGACATTCAGGGAGCTGGTCTCTTGGCACAGGGAGGAGCACAGTCACCATAAGGCACATGCTCTTGTGTCGGGATCTTCTAAAACCATAGTGTCGAACACACTAGCGACTAGCTACATGTGGCTATTTTGCTGGGTGTGTGTGGCTATTTGGCTGGTTGAGTGTGGCTAGTTCGCTATAGCAGTAGTCACTATAGTCAGAACTGGTTGGATACTACAGCTCTACAATCTCTCATTAACTCACCCTGCCCATCATAGAATCTAGGGCTAATCTACACAAGAAATGCTACAATGGTGCAGCAGCCTCTGACGAATTCACTACATGCCGATGGAAAAGAGCTTCCTGTTAATACACCCCAGACGCTCTCTCACCAACATAGCACTGCCCACACAGGTCCTTAGGTTGCTGTCACTTACATTGCTCAGTGGGCTGGCTCATTCACACTCCTAAGTGACATAAATTATACTGATATAATCTGTAGTGTAGACAAGCCCTTAGAAATGCAGGCCTGGAAGGGACCTCAAGAGATCATCTAGTCCTGTTGCATGTGCCAAAGCAGGACCAAATAACTGTAGACCATCTCTGACAGGCATCCAACCTGTTCTTAAAAACCACCAGTGACAGGATTTCTGCAATCTCCCATGGAAGTCTATTCCAGAGCTTAATTATTAACTCTAAGGGTAGTTTTTTCTAATATCTAACCTAAATCTCCCTTGCTACAGGTTAAACTAATTACTGCTTCTCCTACCTTTCCAGAAATGGAAAACAATTGATCACAGTCCTCTTTCTTAACAGCCCTTAGGTCCTCCTAGCCTTTTTTTTCTCAGGACTAAACATGCCCAGTATTTTTATCTTTTCCTCCTGGGTCAGATTTTCTAAACCTCTTAACATTTGAGGAGTTGTTCTCTGGACTGTCTCCAATTTGTCCAGTTTCCTGAAGGGTGTGGCCCAGAACTGGACACAGGACTCCAGCTGAGCTCTCACCAGTGCCAAGCAGAGTGGGAGTTATCTCCCAGATCAACGACTCTTGTTAATACACCCCAGAATTATATTAGCCTTGTGCACAACTGCTTCATTCTGCTGACTCAGATGCAATCTGTGATCCACTCTAACCCCAACATCTTTTTTAGCAGCATTGCTGCATAGCCGGTTAGTTGTGCATTTGATTTTTAACTTCCCAAGTGGTTACAAAACTCACTGTTATTGATGATATTTTGGGTTAGACCTCAACTATTTAATGGTCATCAGCTGACGTCCCTTTGGGCCTGTTGCTGTCCGCCTCACCCCAGGATGAGCCAGTCCAAGGATACAAAACTGCCCCATTAAAGACTCTCAAACAGAAAATCACATCTAAGAGTGAAGGTTGCAGCAGAGTCCATTTGCCTAATATAAAGGTGAGGGTGAGAAAACCGTGGGAGCAGTTTTAGTTCCAGGAGCTACAGGTGCAGAAATGTGACTGAGATCCCTGCCTACTTTGTTATTCCTCAAGAAAAGCGAGGGAGGCAGGGGCATTGTTGGTTGCATAAGGATTTCTGTACAAACCTGCAGTGATATGGAGATCAGCTCCACTTGGCTTGTGTTCTGGTTGGGAGAAATATGCTTGAGGCAGGTTGCACCTGTGTGGGAGATACCTGGACGCAGTTTCTATGCAAAGGGGCCTCCTTTAGGAGTTAAAACTATAAATCTATAAACTAGAAAGACCAGCTTGGTGCTACTAGGTCCAAGAAGTAGTGAGATTTAGCAGCTCAACCATAGGCCAAAAACAACCAGGTACCTCTGAGTCCTCGCCCTGCCTCTGCCATTGAGTCACTATGTTTTCTTTAGTGATTTGCTCCATGTATCTGGGAATACAAATGTGCTGAAAGGAGAAGCTGGAAATGTTTTGAAGTACAATGTAAGTTCTTAGAAGTAGTATTCTCTTAGTTTTAGCACCAAGTGCTCTTCAGGTAGGAGTGCTCGATAAGATCACATGCTCTCTGAGCCATTTTTTTGGAAGGGGTACCAGAAGCATCTTCTGAGGTCTAACCGTGTATTGTTCAATGACTCTCCTGTTGGCTAATTAATGGAATGATGTGGCCACTAGACCTCACCCTTGCTCTCAGCTAGAGTTGGTGTATGGCCCAGGGAGCTATAAGGGCCTTTGTATTTATGTGGTACCATCTGCAGCCATGTGATTTCCAGGTTTCATTACTTTCACACAGGCCAGGCAGAGTTTAGTGTTCTCTCTGACAGAAGGTTGATGCACATTATGGGGACTCTTATGCCATAGGTGGGGAAACTCTGGTCTACAGACTGTATCTGCCCCCTTCTTAATTTCATCTGGCCCATGGTTCCCCCTTTGGACTGGAGCTGTGAGTGCCAGCTTGCAGCAATCAGGGAAGCGCTACATGCTGCCCTTGTCCGCAAGGACTGCCCCTGCAGCTCCCATTGGCCAGGAACTGCAGCCAATGGGACCTGCGGAGGTGGTGCCTACAGGCAAGGACAGCTTGTGGAGCTACTTGTTCCCGCCACCCCAGGGGCCGCAGGGACATGCCAGCAGCTTCTCAGAGTGGTGCTGGGTTAGGGCCAGCAAGGAGCAAGCCTTAGCCAAGCCGCACCACTGACTGGAAGCTGAGGTAAGCGCCTTGCACCCCTTCCTACACTCCAATTTTCTGCTCCAGCCCTGAGCCTCCTTCCATACTCAAACATAAATGTTATGTTTAACCAGTTTACCACCTAAAACAGGGGTGGGCAGGCTGGAGCAGCCAGGCCAGGCTCACCACTGGTAGGGGCTGCTCCAGCTGGGCTGGAATGCCCCCATCTGCAACGGGCCTCTTTGGGCTGGAGTAGCCCCCTGCCTTCGTTGGGTGGGAGGCTGCTCCATCCCCCACTGGTTAACCATAACCAGTAAGCATCACCCAGTTAACCGATTAACCATTCACATCCCTAATCCCAACCCCATGCCCTGAGCTGACTCCTGCTCTCCAAACCCTTGGCCCAGCCTGGAGCCCTCTCCTATCCCTTGTCCCAACCCATAGCCTGCACCCCCCTCACTCACTCCCACATCTCAACCACTTGCTCCGGGTTGGAGACCCCTTCCACATTCTGGGCTCCTCCTTTTTGGCACCATGCTGGAGCCTAGGGGAAGCCCTGAACCTCCTCCCCCCCACTCCCAGGGCTGTGTGTGTCCCAGGGCTGATTTTTCAGGGGGTCAGTGACCCCTGATAGGAAAATGGTTTCCCACTCTATCTGGTGCCAATGACTTGCTAACATTCTGTATCTGGAGGGAAATGCCAGCGACCTTGCGTGCTTTTCAGAATCCACCAGAAACCACGCCTTCAGATTAACAGTGGAGATAAATGTGTAAATGAAACTGTGTAAATGTGCAAGATTGGTTCTTATTTACATACCTTGCTACAAGGCAACAAGGTAGAGTTTGTGAACAATGACCAAGGATTTATTTTAGCAATCTGTTGGGCCCAATTTTCAGCACCCTACATCCCACATCAGAGGATTCTAACTGGAGCTTGCCACTAGCTGTGTAAGAAAGGGGCTTTTCCTACATGCTGTGTGCTTGGATTAGTAACTCCCCGATTTTGGAAAATGTAATCCACGTGTTAAACAGAATGAGTGGGTGGTAGGAAATAAGAGCCATGAGGAGAGCAATGTTTCTGTATTAGGACACGGTATTGGGACCTAAGACAATTGGAATTCTATTCCCTTCTCTGTGTCACTTTTGAGTGGCTTTGGGTACATCCTTCTCCTCTCTGTGTGTCAATTTAGCTGCTCTAAAGTAGGGATAATCAGGGCCGTCTTTATCCATTCACAGACTATGCAGCTGCGTAGGGCACCCGAAAATTTGGGGCACCACTGGTTCTTAACATTCATCCACCTGCCTCTTCCCATCCCTGTTCTGTGGCTCGTCTTCCTCCAAAGAGGAGCTAGTTCACTTAATAATGAAAAAGCCTGCCAGACTTATTAGCAGAGCCTGTGAAAGAGCCATTCAGGTGGGAATGAAGCCATATAACAGACATTTCCCAACCCCAGATACTGTCAGTTGCTGAATTTACTGTGTTAGTCTACTGGACCTTCATTTAACATTTAATTTAAAATATTTCTTTAGTGTATTGCTGAAGGTAATAAAAACCACGTCTCTAAAAAAAACATCCCTGCCCCCAGCTGCCATTGTGCATAGGGGCACCAGTTTAATAGTACTGCGTAAGGCCCCAGAAACCCTAAGGATGTCCCCGGGTGTAATGCTTGCTTCCCACACAGGGTAACAAGTGTTCAGCTCCTCAGAGGATGCTACTGATGTGCAATGGGGGTGCTGTGCTGATGGCACACTCGAAAACTTAGCAGCAGAGTGTTACGTACTCAGAGCGTTACCTACATTGTTACCTACTTGGGTTGTTGCTCAGGAGATACAGAGAGAATCCTAGTGCAGCTTGTGCCATCTACTCCTGGGCCCACACCCACTCCGGCAGGCTGCAGGCTGCTCTCATTGTCTGTGGGAGGAGCCAGGGTGCAGATAGTCTTCCTACTACTAGAGAGCTGCATGGGTAGCTTGTCTTCTTTCTGTGTTTCTTCCATTGCTCGGGGATCATCTCCAGGAACCAAAAGTAAATTCTTTGAAAGCATCCTGGGAAAGGAGAAATAATTGTGTATAGAGAGTGTCTGTTCTTCCCAAACGAGCCAATATCATGCCCTTCCTTCTTTCCCTCTCCTCGTGGACCTTCCCAACATCAGAAAATGATCCTCCAGCTCTCACCTCCACTGATTTACATTGTTTTTAGCCCCACCTGCTACCCGTTGACTATCATGGAGCTTAGTCACGATGAGTAACCTCCTTCTTACCATATATTTTAGAAACGTGCATCTGTCTGTCTGTGAGTCCGTTTGTTCAAGAACTCCTCCTACATGGTAAGAGCTGGGGCCACCAGACTTGGTAGGCAGCTTCCTCTGTTCATAACTTAAAACAAGGTCAGGGTTTGGTTGTGCCGGGACAATGGGATGTGCCTGGAATTCAGTTGTTTCTCATCATATGGAAAGAGAGTGGTCTGGCAGGCATGACAGTTACACCGCAAGAATGACCACGGGGGGGGGGGGGGGGGCAACAGGGAGACAGCAAGAGGCCAATGATGGGGATTGGGACAGCTATAACCCCATTGGGGTAGTAGGGAACAGGGGTGGAGAAAGGGACAGCACTCTACTAGGGTATGTCTACACTACCCCGCTAGTTCGAACTAGCGGGGTAGTGTAGACATACCCCTATATATTTCAGAGAGTTTGTCTGTTTGTTTGTGTGTCTGTGTGTCTGTCTGTCCCCCAGCTGGAGGGCATGCACCTCTCCCCCCAGCTGTGCCCGCTGGAGCTGCAGTGGCCATGGACAGGTGCTTCTCACCTGGCCCCACGCTGCTGCGGTGAGAGAGGCCTGGGGTTGTCCCTTCTCCCAAAGCAGCCTCCTTACTGACCTCCTCATCCCCAGCCCCATCCCAGAGCAAGGATTTTAATGGAGAAAAGCAAAACCTATTTGAGTTAAGGACCTGAGCAACGCTGGGTAAATCTTCTAGTACTTTATACGTAATTCCACTGGGATAGATTATGCCTTTAAGCACAGCCCCGAGCCAGGAGTGTTGCATAAGCTCCCCCAGCCAGAAATAGCCCTAGGCAGCATCATGCCTGAGACGTAATTCCTTGCTCCAGGAGAGAGAGGGAGAACAAAGGGGCGAGGAGTGGTCCCGACTAGGAGCAAACTTCAGAACCCTCAGCTCCACTGGTTGGTGCATTTGGTGGAGAGAGACCTAAACCTCCTCCCATTCCCAGCCCCTTCCTGCCCACTCACAGGCTCTTGATGTGCAGTAGAGATCCTCACAGGACTATTTTAAATGTCCTGCTCCTATCCCGCTCCCACCATTACAGCAGCAGGTACTGCAGGCTCCCCAGGTTGCTGCGTTGTTACTGCCCCCACAGTGAGTGCTGGGGGACCCAACCCCTGCTGCTGCTCCACACCCTCCCTCGCCAAGTAATCTCCCTGGGCCCTGCGGCTAACATCAATATGGGGGACTATTCCGTCCATAGGATGGTTGGGGTGGTGGCCACAGGGCCTGGGGCAGAGACTCCGAACCATCCTATGGACGGGATGGCTCAGCCCCCCATGTAGACAGCACCAGATCAATGGAAGAATTCTCTTGTCATCCTAGCTACTGCCTCTTGAGGAGGTGTAGTGTCTACGCTGAGGGAGAAGTCTTTTTAGTTGAAGCGCCACAGTGGGGCTGCTGCTGTGTTTTAAGTGCAGATACGCCCTTAGACTACAGACCGATGCAGGGAACTCGGAGAATTAAGAACTCTCCCTACTCCCAGAAACACTTCGGTGGGCTGTAGGAATCTCTGGTCTGAGTGCCCAGAAACAAACAGGCATACCGCTCCCTCTTCGCTCCAGTCCTTTGTAGAGGGCTGGACTCCATTGATACAAAGACCTCTTCCTAGTTAGTTCAGAGCTGCGTGTCTGGAGGCCCTGCCTTGCCTTAGATGAAATATTAAAAGAATTCAGTCAAAGCAGCCAAATGCATGGTGAAGACAGCAGGATGTGTGAGTACCTCAGGGCCAGTTCACCTGGGAATTTCCATCCGTTGATTAGATGCTGCTCTTTTCTTGTTGAGCTCTGCTGAGAAGCTGCACAAAAATACGAATCTCCTGCTCATCATTTGTCCCTCAACTTTCGCTCAACTCTCTCCATTTCCTAGTCCCATCCAGTATCAGGAGCTTATGAATGACTTTCCCTTCCTCGAGCTTCATGTTTTCCCACTTCTTTTTCACCATGTAGCACCTGCTCATGTTCAAAGAGGGAGAGCTCTGTGTTTATCCAGAAGAGGGTTGGCTGCTCTCTGTGAAGATATATAATGGCATCTTTCCCTTCTAAATTTGAAATGCCCAAAATATGGAGATTGTTTCTCTGGCCTCCTTTTCAAGGTCGTACAATTTCTCAGGGAAGACACGAGATCCCTTTTCACCCCGCTTGTTATGGTAGCTCATTTTCAAAGTAAGGCATTTGGGATTTAAAAAGAGAGCCTGTATCTCTGAGGGAATGTCTCTATTAAAATGTCTGGGCTTTTCTCCTGTGCGAGACTCTGCATCCCACTGTCATACAGAGGAGGCGACTGTTTAAGCAAATGAATCTTTGGCCTCTTATGTATCTGTCCATCTGAATCCATCTGTGGCAATCCAGGCAGCATCTGGGAAATGTTTTGTTTTCATCTGTGAATTTTTGTGCTTCGTGGGTTATACACACCCCACATGGGCAGCAAAAAAGTTACTGGGAGCCCAAAGATTCAGCTAGGCCACTGTTGGCATGTGGAGTGTGTATTGGGTACAATTTGTTAGCAGACCAAGCTGCGGAGAAGCTGGGTCATCTCATAAAGGAAGGTGCTCGGAGAAGACCTTGGGATCCGCTCTTGAGATGGGAGCTCTGGAAAAAGGCCAGGGATGGCAGAGGCGCCAAGAAGCAACAAGAGTGGCCTGAGCCCCTGTGGGGGCCTTGACAAAGGAGCATGACCCTGGACAGGCAGCCCTCTGCGTTGGTGTTCTGGAAAAGGAGCGGGGAGCTGGAGAGCTCCCAGAGGGTATGTCTACACTACGAAGTTAATTTGAACTCACAGCCGTTAGTTTGAATTAACTTTAATAGTGGCTATACATACGAATTTAAATCGACCTAGCGGAGCGCTTAATTCGAACTAGGTAAACCTCATTCTATGAGGACTAACGCCTAATTCGAATTAAGTAGTTTGCATTAAGGGCTGTGTAGCCACTTAATTCGAACTAGTTGGAGGCTAGCCCTTCCCAGGTTGCCCTGGTGGCCACTCTGGGCCAAACCAGGGAAACTTTTCTGCCCCCCCACCCCTCCCGGCCCTGGAGCCCTTAAAGGGGCACGGTCTGGCTACAGTGCTTGTGCCAGTTGCAAGCCTGCCAGCACCCAGCCAGCACACCCCGCACCTGCTAGGCACAGGAATGCGGCCATCTAGGGCAGGATAGTTGCCAGCCTGGCCACCAAAGGCCACATGCAAACCCAGGAGCAGGTTTGCATGAAAATCAAGTTGGTCCAGTGAGTCCACCGACCCTGAGCCCTGAGCTTAGAACATAAGAACATAAGAACGGCTGTACTGGGTCAGACCAAAGGTCCATCTAGCCCAGTAGCTTGTCTTCCGTCC